CTGCTGAGATTCGCCATGGAGAGCCCCGGGGACGGTGAGGGGACACCGGGACACGGGCATGTCAGTGTCCCTGAGGTGACCCCAGTGTCCTGTCGGTGACCCCAAGGTGTCCCCGAGGTGTCGCTGGTGACCCCGCGGTGACCCCACGCTGTCCCATGTCACACAGGCGAGGCCGAGCGCTGGCGCCCCACCCCACAGAGCCTCTTCTTCGTGTTCAACGCCTCGCGCGTGCGGGCCGGGCTGGGCCGGGCCGAGCTGAGCCGCGCCGAGCTGAGGATGCTGCGCCAGGGGACACCGGGGACAGCGCCGGGGACAGCGGGGACAGCCACGACAGCCCTGGGGACCGAGCAGAGAGTCGAGCTCTACCAGGTGGGCACAGGGACAGCAGGGGATTGGGGACACTGGGGGATGTTTGGGACTCTGGGGGGGATTAAGGACATCTGGGGATATTTTGGGGGACAGTGGCCCAATGTCCCCCAGTGTCCCCAAATGCCCAATCCCCCCAGTGCCCTCAATGTCCCAAATGTCCTCAGGGCTTCGGGAACTCCTCCTGGCGTTACCTCCAGGGCCGTTCCGTCCGTGTCACGGCCGAGGACGAGTGGCTCTGGTTCGACGTCACCGACACCGTCCAGCAGTGGCTGCACAGCTCCGGTGAGGCCCCAGAATCCCACAAAATTCCCCCAAATCCTCTCAAATCTCTTTGAAATTCCTCAGGATCCCACCCAAATACCCCATAAAATCCCCCCAAAATCCCCCAAATCCCCTCAAATCCCTTCCAATTCCCATAAAATCCCCCCAAATCCCCCCTGAATTCCCGAACTGTCTCTGGGCAGAGCCGCTGGGGCTGTTCCGGCTCAGTGTTCACTGCCCCTGCGAGCACGGCGCCGGCGCCGAGCCCACCCTGAGGATCAGCATCGAAGGTGCCGGGGGGGAGCTGGGGGGATTTGGGGGAAATTTGGAGGAATTTTTGGGGGATTTTGGGGGAGTTGGGGAACTTGAAGGGATTTGGGGGAAATTTGGGGGGATTTGGGGGAATTTTAGGATTTGGAGGGGATTAGGGGGGGATTTTGGAATTTTTTTGTGGGGGATTTTGGAATTTTTTTGGGGGATCTGAGGGAATTTGTGTTGGGATTTTTGGGGGAATTTCAGGAGAATTTTAAGATTTTAGGTCACTCTGGAGTGACCGTGGCCAGAATGACCCCAGGCCATGGAGACCCTGATGTCCCCAAATGTCCCCAAACGTCCCAAATCCCCCCAAATGTCCCCAAATGTCCTTGATGTACCCAAGGATGTCCCCAGTGATGTCCCCATGTCCCCAATGATGTCCCCAGGGTTCGAGCAGCCCCGTGGGGACATGCAGAGCATCGCGCGCCGGCACCGCCGCGTCCCGCACGTCCTGGCCATGGCACTGCCGGCCGAGCGCGCCCAGGCCCTGCACGGACACCGCCAGCGGCGTGGGCTGGACGGACAGACCTGCGGGGGGTGAGGGGACACTGCGGGGGACATTGGGGACAGCAGGCCCAAACCAGGCCGGGGGAGCAGAGCTGCTGCGTGCGGCCGCTGTACATCGACTTCCGCCGGGACCTGCAGTGGAAATGGATCCACGAGCCCCGTGGCTACATGGCCAACTTCTGCGGGGGGCCCTGCCCTTACATCTGGAGCGCCGACACGCACCACAGCACGGTGGGCGGGGGTCCCCAGGGACCTGGGGGGTCCCGGGGGGTCCTGGAGGGGCTGGGATCCTCTGTCCAGGGCTGAACTCGGGTGGGGACCCCCAGCATAGGCAGGGGGGTCTGGGAGACTTGGGATTTGGGGAGGGGTCTCAGGGTCAGGTTGGGATTTGGGTGTATTTTGGGTATATTTGGGTGTGTTTTGGGTGTATTTGGGTGTGTTTTACAGCACCTTTCAGGGCCATTCTGGGCTGATGCTGCTGTGGTGTTTGAAGCCAATTTGGGGCCGATTTGTGTAAATTTGGGGCCGATCTGCTCTGATCTGTGCCAATCTGTGCCGATCTGTTCTGACGGGTGCCGACGCGCATGTCCCGGCAGGTGCTGGCGCTCTACAACCTGCACAACCCCGGCGGCTCGGCGGCGCCGTGCTGTGTCCCGCAGAGCCTGGAGCCGCTGCCCATCGTTTACTACGTGGGGCGTAAGGCGCGCGTGGAGCAGCTCTCGGGGATGGTGGTCAGCGCCTGCACCTGCAGCTGACCCCAAAACCCTCGGTTCTCGCCCCAAAATCCCCCCGGGACTGCCAAAAAACGTTATTTAATTTCCGCTGCCTCCTGTGGGGTTTCCTTGTGGTTCTGAACGAAGTGCCCCCAAAAATCTGGAGTGGAAAGGCAAAAATCTTCCCCAAAAAATCCCCACAAAAAGCAGAAAATTTGGGGATCCCGAGAAACTGGGGATGGGTGGGTCCAGGAATTCTGAGGGGAAAAGATTTGGGAAGGAGAATTTTGGAGGAATCCCAGAAATTTGGGAGATTCCGGGAATTTTGGGCTTCCCCAAAAACTCCGATTTTTCCCTAAAATCTTCCTCCAAAAAAGAAAGAAGAAAAATCCCAATTTCCCCCCAAAAACCTCAGGCCTGGAGGAGATTCCTTGGGGTGGGGGGATCCCATTTATTTCTGGGAATTCTGGGATGGAATTTTGGGAATTCTGGGGGTCCCTAGTCCAGCTGGGGGGCCTCGCTGGGCTCCTCCTCATCGAAATATCGATCCTCCAAATCCCGGGAAACGATGTCCAGATTGTCCAGATCCGGGTTTTCGTCCACCTGGCTGAGAAATTCAGGAATTTCCAGGAATTTTCCAGAATTTTTTTGAAATTTTTTGGGTTTTTCAGACATTTGTATAAAATTTTTGTGAATTTTTTTTATGGTTTTCCAAAGTGTTTTTGGGAATTTTTGAGGGTTCGGGGAGGTTTTGAGTGAAGGGATGAGAATTCAGGAATTTTTAGGAATTTTCTTGGATTTTTTTTTCAATTTTTGGGCTGCTTTAAAGCGATTTTTAAAATTTTAATCGTTTTTGGTTGATTTTGGGGTCCTTGATGTGAATTTAAGAAAGTTCCGGGGGATTTTGAGGGAAAATCTGGGAATTTTGGGTGAATTTTTGGGAATCTGAAGCTTTTTTTTTGTATTTTCAGGGTTTTTTAAGGCTTTAAAGAAGATTTTGGGGGGAATTTTTGAAGGATTTCTGATTTTTTAGATTTTTTTGGCTGAATTTCGGCTATTTCTGCCGTTTTTTGAGGGATTTTTGAGATTTTTTTTTTTCACCCTGGGACATTTTGGGGTGATTTTGTCGGATTTTGGGGATTTTTGAGGCTTTCTGGGCTCACCTGTAGTCGAAATCCCCGTCCTGGCCCTCCAGGAAGCTCTGGTACATCCGGGTGGTGAATTCCAGGCGCAGCAATTCCTGCTCGGCCGCATCCGGGATCCGCTCCTCACCCTCCTCATCCTCATCCTCCTCCTCCTCCTCCTCCTCCTCCTCCTCATCCTCGGCTGCAAAACCCCAAAATCCCGACAGGGTCCCAATGGAATCGCTGGGAATTGCAAAACAAATCCAAAAGATCCCCCCCAAAAATCCCCCAGATCCCCAACCCCGAGCTCCAACCCCCGACCCCAAATCCCCGACCTCCAATCCCAAATCCTCAATCCCAAATCCTCAATCCCAAATCCCAAATCCCAAATCCCCACCCGGGCTCTCTCCCAGCGAGCTCAGCAGCAGCTCCCGCAGTTTCTGGGCCTCTCCAGACTGGATTTTGGGCTCATTCCAGGGGATTCTGGGCTCGTTCCCGAGGATTTGGGGCCGGTTCCGGGGGTTTTGGGGCTCTCGGAAGCGGCCGATGTAGTGCTGGAAGAGCCGCGGCGCCCGCAGCCGCATCCGCTCCTCGCTGAAGTAATCGCCCTCTGGAAAGGGGAAAAACCGGGAAAAACAGCGGGAAATGAGGAATTGCGGTCCCAAATGGCGCGGGAAGCGAAAACCCCGGAACCGAGGGAAAATCCCGCAAAATCCCAGTAAAATCCAAAGAAATCCGTTCAAAGTTCCCCCCAAACCTGATCAAAATTCCACTCAAATCCCCCAAAAAATCCCATCAAAATCCCACAGAATCCCATGGAAATCCCAGAGAATTTCGGGAAAATCCCGGAAAATTAAAAAATTCCCCAGGATCCCCCCGGAATTACCGAAATTCGCTCCAATGTCCCCGGAATTCCCGGAGAATCCCACAAAACCCCACAGAATTCCCTCAAATCCCCCCGGACTTCCCGGGATTCGTTCCCCAGCCGCGTCCGGTGTCCCCTCGCTGTGGGTCCCCCCCGGTACCTCGGAGCAGCTCCCTGAGGGCCGCGAAGCGCCGGTTCCGCAGGCGCGTGCGCGCGGGGGGGCGGCCCCGGGGGGCGCCTCGGGACCAATCCGGGCCCGTTCGG